TTCCCTGGTGTTTGAAACACCAAGATCTTATATATTCACGCATCTGACACCAAAGACAGCATCTTGCGTGGAGTCCTCTGCACTTTGCTTCCAAAGCACATCATGTGACGTCATCTAAAGCCCGAGGCTGCTACCCTCTGTCATCACGGGGGAGGATGTGCCAACAGAGCTGCACTCGGGGCCACTGCTCCACCACCAGGCCTTCCTTTTCAACAGGTCTCAGGGCATCTTGATGAACGAGGAGGCCGGACCAGCCGCTCTCGGGGGCCCCTCGCCCTTCTAGCGGCTACGTTATTCTCCCAGGAAGGGCACGGTGTCAGGTAGCAGTAACCCCCGTGTCTCGGAAACCGAATTTCTATTTACTTCTGAACACCAGAAAAATTACTCTTTTGGTAGTTGCAAAAGTTTTCAAGGGCATATTGGAGACCTGGAGCCTGGGGCTGGGGGCGGGGGGATGGGGGAGCTGCAGGAAGGAAAAGAGAAATCATTAACAGACCAAATGGGCCCACATTCCTCGAAACGGAGTCAGCATAGGAACATGGAGATGTACAGCAAGACGCAGGGCAAACGTGCGTTCTGACGGAGAGAACTCTCCTTTGGAAGCTCTTCATGCACAGGGCCCTTTAAACTGGATGTCTCTCTGGTGCGTGGCAGTGATTCAATCTTCAAAGGCCTGAGTCACATTTTCCCCAGAAGCACCTTGGGTCAAACAACACCTCCATCTACCAACACCTCTATCCAGAGTGTCTAAATGCGGATCTTTTTAGAAACTAAAAGGGTTTTGGTGGCTGAGCAGTGTGAGAACCCGGTGGGGGAGGGAAAAACAAACCAGATTTGTTCGTTTTTCTAAGAGCCACGAGAAGGAAATGTAATTTTCCCCCCTCACTAAATCTGGAAGGTTCTATATTGACGGCTGGTTCACAGTGACGAATGGAAGGTACTGAAATGGGGGGGGGGGGGCTTATGTATCTTACGCTGCATGTTAAAATGCTAGATTGGAAATAAGACCACTTATCCCTTTTCAATGATTTATACAACGTGAGGGACAGTATAACCCTATGTAACCGAGTAAAAAGGGTACTCCAACCAGGTCCCCCTTTCTCCTAAGATCTTCCTAGATTCGGCGACACTTACATGTTACCTATGGGACCACAGAAAGACAAGTTGAAGTCTTTTTCTTAGCACGCAGAAAGGGCTCTATTGGAACAGGACTGTTACATTATGAACTCAGCAGCACAAGAAGCATGTATGCCTGACTCCCCTCTTTCTTCTTTAAATGAGGAGCTACTATCCATTTCTCAATACTCTTGGGGTCACAGGGAATGGAGGATGGAAGGCGAAGGGGGTACAGTCGTCTGTCGGGAACAGAGCTCCCCAATGTGGACCGGGGAAACTCAGGGGGCGGAGCGACGGGGGCGGCAGCCAGCTCGGGGACTTATCAGATCAGGGTCTGCGATCTGAGCAGCTGGTGTGCCTGCACTGTTGCTGGGGACTCTCAGCAGCTCGTGATGCAAAGCGCATGACTACACCTGCACGAGGCCTGGTGTACGTGCTCACGTTCCCTGTACATTTAATTATGAGCATGAACGGAAGGTACTGTCATTGTTTAACTCGGCCGACCTTTTAAATGGATAACCAACCCTGAGGCTTAATTGGATTCAAAAAAAAGATCAATTTCTAGCCGTTGCACAGTGTGGGAACGAAGGGCCGTGTTCTCAGGCAACTGTAAACTCAGTTTTGTTCAAGCCTATTTTTTTTTTTTTTTTAATATTTACAATGTTAAAATGACACGATCCATCCTGGTGGGCGTTTTACGCATAAGATATACCTTTTCTCAACCAGCACAAAAGCCCACGTGGGCACACAGCCGCGTCACTGCAGGCTCCTTCCCTCCGTCAGTGGCAGCTTAGTCATCAGCAGCACCCTCTCCACGCTGGCGACACGAAACACTGAGCCGGGCGTAATCACACGCCCGCCTGCAAACCTCTCAGCCTCGGTCACGTCTCCTCCTTGTGACGGGGAAAGAGACCCTTGAGGAGGCTTTTACTAAATCACGCCTTGACCACTGAATCTTTCTTGAACAAGTAATTTTTTTGCAAAGAAATGAACAATTAAGATGGCGAGAGCAGCCCTGGTCTAGAAATGAGGGAGGGAAGATTCTCGCCCCAGCCTGGGGTTATCCTGGCCGTGTGACCCGGGCCAGCCCTCCTGGGGGTCTCCAGCTCCCCATCTGACAAAGGGGGAGGTTCGGGGGGCAGTGCTCTTTACCCAGGGTTGATGGAAATGGAGCCCGTTACGGCGCCGGGTCAGAACGCCACGGTAAGAGAACATCCGATTCCCTTGGCTCTCCCCGAGAAACAGACCGCAGGATGCAAACCGGGGCCCCTCTGCCTCCATCACGACATCTTGTATGAAAAGAGAGAAATGGTGATTATAATGGTGGAATTTGGGTGGTTTCTAGAATAAGAGTTGACAAGCAGAACACGCTAAGCCCGGTGGCGTATTCCAACGAAGCCTGGTTTCGATGCACGCTGTGCCAGTGAGTCGCCGTGAAATAGTCCGTTTCACCCGGACGACAGCTCAAGTGCTTGCCCGCGCAATTGCCCTGGGCGTTCGGGACAGTCCGGAGCGCTGAGGACGACTGGACGGGTGACTGTTTCCTGTGGCCTCCACTGGCCAGGTAACGGGCACAGCGCTCCGCCGTCTGGCTCTGGGATGTTCTGCGTTGTGAGGAGCCTCCGCCGCAGACTGGCAGGATGGCATCACGGGCGGCGTGGACTCGGGCGCAGCTCGCAGAGCCCACGGCTGCAGCCAGCGGCTCGGAGTCCCAGACCTGAGCCGCTGTGGGTTTGCTCTGATACCCACCCCTTTGAAGGGGGTTGTTTACCCTCGAATTCAAAACAAAACTACACAAAAACGCCAGGCGACGAGGGAAGTGGCAGCTGGGTGGTCGAGGGGACTTGGAGAGAGAAAATCTGGTCACTAAGGGTGAGCACACAATGGACAGTTCGAGGCCCACGTTGACACGCGGGCACAGCGCTCAGTTCCAACACGCAGCTCGTATCCATGGCCCCGTCCGCCTGAGCCTCAGCAGAGAGGGAGGCATAACTCACAGAGACTCCGCACCAAGTGCTGTCCGAAACCTCCCCACGAGAACCAATGGCTGTCCCTTCTGTGTCGCCACAGGCGCCAAGTCTCCCCACGTGGCCCCACGCTCTGACCCCACGATCGAAAGGGAGCCCGCACGTGGGAGCCCACACGTGGAAGCCCACACACGACAGGCTTCCAAACGCAGAGACTACGGCGCTTGGCCAGGTGAGTGGTCCGCGGGGGCACAGCTGCGACGGACGGACAGGGAGAGCTCTGGGTTACTCCGTGGGTGATGATCAGAGTTCTCCAAGGAGGCCCACCGGTCAGCGAGGGAAGCCTACACCCAGCCTGTTCCAGTCTCCTGGACACTCAGGAGGAAGCACCCCAAGACCACACTGCCAGCCACACCCGAGGGCCAGCCGGGCCCGAGCCCCCAGCTCTCTGCTCAGCGGCCAGGCGTCTGGCTGTCCCTGCACACACTGGAGCAAGCCTGGAACTTAGAAGCTCCGGTCTCCCAGGGCCTGTGTGTAAGAATGACTTCTCAGCAAGGCACACGTACCAAGTCGTTCTTGGTATGCGTGTACAGCACACATTTTCCTAAGAAAAATAACTATCTGCCTTTTTGTCTACTAGACAGCAAAGAGACTGGCTCCTCTGCAGGTGTCCACCAGACAGATGGGTGCACCTTCGGACGCTGAGGCAGACACCTCAGGTGCAAAACAGCCATGGGCCCAACAACCCCTCCCATCCCCCAGATGCACCGAAGAAACCAGAGACCCCTCGTTCAAATTAATACTAGGATTGCAGGATGCTGTTTAATCTGCATGAGTGCTTTATTGTACAAAAAGTTTCCAATAACAGTAAATTAGTTTTTAAAAAGGACAAAAAAAGGCATGTTGGATAGAAGCGCTTCACTAATTGCTTTATTTAAGCACACAGAGAAAAGTCTTATCTGACCAATTAGGCTGGGAGGGTCTCATTACCTTCCTAGCCATTAGCCAGGACACAACACTGAAAGCACTGTGTCAGAACAAATAAATAATGCTCTCAATTAGCAGAGAGATGGTCAACCGTCAGACACACACTGCTTCGCGCCCAGGCGAAGCCGGCCCCCCCAATTAATAAAAACAGAGACAGCAGATTTCAGCCACAGCCCGGGGGAGACCAGGAGCTGGAGGCAACAGGAAACGTCCCGTCCCCTCTCGCCAGGCCGGAGCCACCTGGGAACACTGCTCCAGGGCAACCCCAGGCCACGAGAGGCCAGCGGGGCTGGGGGCCTGGCTCCCCGCGGTCAGTGGCTCCGGCAGGGAAAGAATGACCCTGAGGTTCCAGGACACCACGACTGTCCCTCTCACTGCCCCCAAGCTGCTGACCGTCCCCCGGGAAAGGCTCAACAGAAGAACCCAGTGTTCTGAGGAGCCCAGCCCGTTGGCGCAGACGCTGGGTCACGGCTGTGGCAGCGGGCCGCTGGGCCTCCGCAGGCACGGCCCTGGTTCCAGTCAGAATGGGCAGGCCCTGCACCCCAGCCAGATCCTGCCACCACTTCTAACCAGGTTCATGATTTCCCCCAAATGGGCTGGGGGCAAAAACCAACCCTAATCACCCTATTCACTGAAAAGAAGCATAAACAAATGCAACCCTTTCTTAAAGGGTCACTTTCCTTCCAGGACCGTTCAGACGGCTTTAGCTTTCCCCGCCGCCGGCCGCTGCGGCTCAGTGGACGGAGCGCCGTCCCGTGGACTGAGAGGTCCCTGCTCGGCCCCTGGTCAGGGCACATGCCCAGTGGTGGGCTTGATCCGAAGTAGGGGGCGTGCAGGAGGCGGGCCATCGGTTTCTCTCTCACATCGATGTTTCTCTCTCTCTCTCTTCCCCCCTTTCTCTCTTTCTCAAAAAAAAAAAAAAAATCAATAAAAACATTAAAAACAAAAGCTTTCAACAGTGATCCAGTGCCGCCGCCGAGACCGTGTGGGAGGGACAGCCGCACTCCCAGGAGCGGTGGGTCTGCCGGGACACCGGGCTCCACTCACCGCTGGGCGGGTGGGCAGGCACGAAAGGACACCCACAGCTGTGCTCAGCCTCTGGGACCAAGGCCTGCCGGGGGCACCACGTGCTTCCCGCGGCGCCAGGGCCGCCTGGAGCGTCCGGTGGCCACACTGGCCATGAAGCCAGGGCTCCCTGGCACCGGCGGCTCGGGAACAAACAGCTGGGACAACCTGAACTCCTGGACGTGGGCTCAAATTTCTAGAAACAACTTCCAAGTCAAATTCTAGAGAAGCATTTTATGTGACTGGTCTAAATAAAATGTACCACATTCGAGGTAAACACAACGGAAAAGCCATAAAAAATTACACAAAGACCATCAAGGCGACCCTCGTGTCTCGGGAGCAACGGAACAGGGCAGCCCCGTTCTCCACGCTGTCCTCAGTCCCCACCGTTCGGGCAGGGGCGAGTCTGCGCACTGCACTGGGACAGGGCGCTCAGCACCGAGCCCACGGCGGTCCGGCCCACTCACGCCGCGAGGGGTTGCGGGTCCCGATTTCCGCCACCTGCAGGAATATGCCTCCTTTCTGGGCATGTTGAGTGCTATTGGGAGAGCAATAAATCACACCTCTGGTGGAATATTTCACTTTGAAATGGAGTGATGTTTGGTTAATAATTTGAGACCCAAATGGGGTGACCCATTTAGAATGGCCTCTGTGTAAATTCACAGTTCATTAAGTGGTGGCTGGCTTGAACAGGTCATTATGTCGTTAGCATATGAGCAATGGATTGAGCCAGGATGGCTGGGGACCCCGCACAGGGCACACTGGCCAATCCTGGGCTTCTCCCGACACTGCCAAGCTCCTCGCAATGTGAGGTCCGCCCAGACCGCCGACTCTGAAGCCGAGGTGTTTTGCTCAGCGACCCTTTCGGTTGACAGGACACAGTGTGTGCACTGTCGATGAGGAACACCCATCTACAATTAATCTAAACTTGTGCAGCTGTTTAACTGGCCCGTCTAAATGTGTTAATTAACATCGATGATGGTTTCTTATTTTTCACACTTTGTTACTCTGATCATTAACAGTGATGGAAAAGCGAAATTAAGGTAATGGGGAATGGATTATAAATTCTTAACGGACTTCTCAGTTTGTTTTCAACTGGAAAATAGAGAGAGAGATGAAGAGGCATTTTTGCCTCTAACCATAAATTTTTGGTACCAAATCCTTAAAAACCAGATGGTTTTTAAAGTTTTTTCCCCCAAAATGATTTTAACACGCTGCTCAGATGTGATTGCTAAGAAAAACAGCTCATTCACAAGAACGTGGAACAGCTGTGGGTGCTGTAAACGTCCCGCTCGTTTCTCTCTGAAACCACTGTGGCCGGCGACCGGACTCATCTCTGGTCTGCAGCACCGAAGGTCTTTAGTTCTCGACAAGGCCGGAAACGGAGCCCGCGCCCCTCGCTCGGGCGCCCACACGGGCAGCCGGTGCGGCCGAGCCCCTCGCACCCGGATCCAGGCAGCGCACACAGACCCCAGGCCGCTTAGCGAGACTTCACGCCGACGAGGACAACAATGAGGACAATAATGATGACAAATAATATTAAAATCACAAGCATCTTCCGATTCTTCTTTTGATACTGCTCTGCCTACAGAAAGAGGGAAAAAGGCCGTCATTCTCCCCAATCCCGAACCCAGGCTCGCTCGTTTGCAGCTAGGCTTCCGGTTCCTCTGCGGCCGACATCTCGGCCACGGGCTCCTTCCTCACAACCGCCATGGACTCACGCGGACTCAGCGCGTGGAAGGGCCGACCTGGAGCACAGCCTCCCAGGGGCACGAATGCGCGTGTGGGATCTGCCACCCAGAGCGGGCGGCAGGCAAGGGCAGCCTGCAGCCTCTCGGTGGGAAAGCCCCCGCCCTGGCCCTCTGGGTGCACACGGCCCTCTGGGTGCACACGGCTCTCTGGGTGCACACGGCCCTCTGGGTGCACACGGCCCTCTGGGTGCACACGGCCCTCTGGGTGCACACGGCTCTCTGGGTGCACACGGCCCTCTGGGTGCACACGGCTCTCTGGGTGCACACGGCCCTCTGGGTGCACACGGCCCTCTGGAACCGCCCGGGCCGAGGGAGCGGCGCAGCGACGGTGGGGCTGGTGGGCTGGTGGCTCGAAGAGCGTGATTCCTACCTGCCCTGGATGCAGCAACAAGGAAAACTCATCCTTCCAAATAAAACGGAGAAAGGGCTCCCCAGGGGGGTCAAGGGCAGAAAGGGCCCCCATCCCCAAGATAGGTCCCTGTGCACCTGGCGACACAGCGGAGGGGAGCTCGGGAGCGCCCCACCTCAGCCGCCCCGAGGCGCCACGCCTGCGTGCAGAACCGGACAGGCCGGTGCGGGAGAGAGCTGTGAGGGTGTCTCTAACCACGTCCAGGAGGGCGCACCCACCCTTCTCCGGACACCGCTATTCCTGTCTCACGGTGAAGGACAGGAGACAGCCTGTCCTCCGTCCGCGCCCGCCTGAGTGCAGTTGTGTCTGCTCAGGGCTGCCCCCCCGGAGCACTCAGCAACCAGCAGAGACATCAGGGCACACAGGCCCCGAGAGGCTGGGGTGTGGAGTGAGCCCGGGCCCACTCCTCAGCGGGGCTGCTGCCAAGGGGGGGCCAGCCCTGCTCGACAGCAAAGTGGCCGAGGGCCGACACGCTGCCTCTCCCGGAGGAGCCCGAGCACCAGGGCCAGTGCTGAGCACTGAGCCTTCACGAGACCCGGAAGCAAAGCTTAGTTCCCACTAGGTGTGTACACTCTTGCAGACAAGCTTCCCCCCTTTTCTGTGTTACACTATCACACACACTTCACTAGGCTGTAAGAAACCTCACAACCAACACCTAATCCCACAGCAGATCAAACCCGGCATCGTGAGTGAGACCCTGAAGCCAGCTGCCCTCTCGATACACAGGCGTGTCCCTAGACGAGTCCCCCGCACACAAGGCAAGCCCTTCCGTCCTCGGGACAGGCGGGGGTCCCACACCTGCCCCACGCAGCAACGGGCGCACAAGAGCACGCAGGGTTTCTGGACAGACCTGTGCAGGGCCTCCCTGCTGCTCGCAGAGGGCCCTCGCTGCTAGAGGAAGGGGCTGCTTTCGGAAAAATGATGGACAGTGCAGCAAAAAACTGGACAAATGGTCAGGATGTGGCAAAAACCCCAGTGGGCCTCCAAGACCCGGGGCGATGGGCAGAATCCACTTCATCTGGGAAGCAGGGACAGAGCTTGCGCCCAGGGACCCCGAGGGCCACTCGGCAGTGCGTGGGCATGTTCTCAGAGGCAGCTGCCTGGGCTCTAAGATGCTTTCCACTCACCTTCAACAGATATCACGGAAAATATTCCTGAAACAGCCACCTTATTAGCAAAGAGTAAGAGAGCTAGTCATACTCTCACTTCAACAAACGACTCTTTTGTAAAGTAAGTACACAGACGTACTGTGGCAGTTAAAAGGGAAATCAGATTTTCATCTTCTCCAGGGTGACTCTCCACCAGCAGGGCAGCGGAGAGTGCCCGGCAGAGGCTGCGCCAGCCCCGAGCACACGGGCCACTCGGCCACGTCTGTGCACACGCAGCTGCCTTCCCAACACAAGCAGACTCGAGCGCGACGTTTCCTGAAGGAGGAAACCCGCTCCCCGCATTCACCGTCACGGAAGGGGGTTCTCAGCAGTGCCAACCTCACTGCGACGCGTCCCTGGAAACACTCCACGACCAAGGGCAGCAGCCCACGTGGTCGGCTCTGGACACCACGACATCCTGTGACACTGTCCTGCCGAGAGTGACGAGGGACCACAGTGCTGAGGACACCTGGGCCGGGGCAGCCCGGGGACCTTCTGTCTGGTGACAGCTCCTCGCGAAGCTGAAGGGCCGGGGTTACCTTGTGCAGCTGCTTCAGGCCGTCCTCGGTCTTGATGCAGGACTGCTCCACATTGTAGTCGATTCTGTCAAGGACTGTGCCCTGGTGACAAATGACAGCGACAGACCATCAGCAACTGCATGTGGGGGCACATGGCCGTGGACAGGACAGGGCACGTGGACGCTCTGGGCAGCACCAGCAGCGTCGGGCACCCAGGGGCACGGTGCAGGGCTGGTTCCGGCTCACGAGGAAGCAACATGGGCAAACTGAGATTTCTGTCTCGGATTTCGCCACTGTGGGATATGCCACACTCACTACTGGTGCTTTAAAAACGACACGGGCCCTGGCCGGTTTGGCTCACGATTAGAGCATCAGCCTGCGGACCGGAGAGTCCCGGGTTCGGTTCCCGCTAAGGGCACTACCTCAGTTGCAGTTTGTCCCCGGCCCCGGTTGGCTCGTGTGGGTGGGGACCACTCGATGTGTCCCTTTCACATCGATGTTTCTCTCTCTCTTTTCCTCCCTCTCACCCTCCTGTTCTATCTGAAGATAAATGCAAAAATGTCCTCAGGTGAGGATAGAAAATAAAAAACAAAAACGACACGAGTCAGCAGAAATAGGCACCGAGAGGCGAAGTTGCGAGCTTCTGTGCCCACCTGCTGCTTAAACACTTGGAGTCAAGGAAGCAGAGCCAGCTTAGCTGGACCTGTTATGATTAGGTCGGGAAATTGACTATCATGTCTACAGACGTCAGCACAGGTCTCCACGGATCACAGCAACAACAGTGAGCTCCAATCCACCATGTCAAATTTCACATCTGCCTCAAGGAGAATTTTGTTCTTAATTGTTTAATCTCTTGGTTCAAACAGAGCCGGGAACACCGGCCATATGGAAGAACAGGGCTCTTAACGGAAGCACGCTGCATTAGAAGAGATAGCGAGAGCCGTTCCCCGGGAACACGGAGTAATTAACGTAACTAGATCTTCTATAGTCTCCATACTCCATTCTCAGCTGGTTTCAGGGGGATCAGGACCCAAATCCCTACTGGCAAGATAATAAAATACCCTAATCAGATTGTAACATTGAACAAACAATTTAATTCCACTTGAAAGCTAGTGGTTCCAGTCGCCGTTACACAATAACCTGCCAGAATTAGCAGGGAAGCCTTATCTCCAGCCAGAATCACCGCTGAGCATGGGCAGAGCCAACCAGGCCCCTAGGTGGGCACGCACGCAAGCACCCCTGGGGCAGAGAACACGAGAACTCCTGTTGGCATTTATTTATTCAATAGAGGTTTCTTTTTAAAAATAAAGAATGGAAGTACTATATGTATGTAATGTGTACATACATACACTGGGGAGGAGGGTCAATTTTTTTCCCTGATAGGAGTGCAGAATCAAAAAAGCCCGGAGAAGGGCTGGATTTTATGGCAGGAAAAGCCACTGCAGAGGAAGGTCAACGTGCACACCTGCTCCACAATCATCGCCCCCAGGTCCCGAAAGATCTCGTTCAGGTCGGAGATGGACTGCACGATCTGGCGGATCTCCCGCTCCCTCTCCTCCACCAGCAGCGTGTTCTGCTCCACCAGCACCAGCTGCTCGTCCGTGAAACCCTAGCGAAGAGGAGGACAGGACCTGCATGTTAGACTCCCCCCTCGAGAAAGCTACAGTGTACCACTTTAAACATAGTTTAAAGAAAATGATTCCTGAAAACATTTCTGTGCAGCACATAAATATAAACACTCATTTTTCCCTCTCAGGAAAGATCCAAATTCCCGTAGCAGGCGGGACAAAGCAGGCCGGTCAAAGCAGGCACGTGGGAAGAACCTCCTGCAGGGCTGCCTGGCCCAAGGTCCTAGACGGGAGTGACAAGGTCTCCCTGTCGCCACTGGAAAGGAACAAACAGTATGGATGCATGACTGTCCTCCAGCCTGCTGTCAAATCCACAGGATGGACCTATGGGCACGCAGTACTGGTCCATCGCCGTGTAACAAGTCACAGCCTGGAAGAGATGAAAACAGAATCAACCCTTCACGCACCCGATCATAGAGAGTGTTGTCGTCTCCATCATCCATCAGTGGTACTGATGCATCAAAGAAATGCTGGGATCTTTCCTCTCGGTTCTTCATGCCTGCCACAGACAGGAACTCACTTTACTCGGACATGTGAGCATCCTGGTCACTGCTCCACCGTTAATAAGGGGAAATCTGGATTAAAACTCAACAGTCAAAATGGAGATTTCCTAGCACCTTCAGAAGTGGTGGTGAGGGCAGAAAGATTACAGACACAGCGTGCAAGCAGTTTGGGTCAGTCAAAGCCAAGCGACACTGTAAGCGTGTACAAGTCTCTCGATGCCAAGTGAATGACAGAATGACACAACCATCTGAGAACCTCTAAGTGACGCAGAAATATTTAATCTAACTGCTGCTACAAAGCATTAAAAGAAAATCTGTATTTTTCTCTAGAAGCATCTCTAGTATGAATTCCAAATGGCCCTAAACCAAATTTCAGAAGTAACAAGATTAAAATACAAACATGCATCTGTAGAGGGAGAACCAGCTTCTAGAAGGATGAGTGAGGGATGTCACCACGCCAGTGGCGGCAAAGAAACAACAGTTGGCAGGGAAACCTGACCTATTGGGAACCAGGGGCCCAGCCTACAGGAGTGTTGATGCTCCTCCCAGAAGGTTCCAGGGACTCGAAAAGCTTGAGTTGCTATGGAAACGCGGAGCTGCAATGCTAATACGACTGGTTTCACCTATGAATTCCCAGCTCCCCATCCCAACACCTAGAGCTACAGGTTCCCCATGTGCTAGGCTGAGCTTCGCGTTCCTTAAGCTTGACCCCTAAGTTCTTAGGTGTGACCCGCGCAGCACCCCGGCGTCCCGCGGGCGGTGCCACACGGGCCCGGCTCTGCACTCACGTTTCAGGTAGCCGGCCTGCGCGTGCCGGAAGCCGGTGGACAGGTCCTGCAGGGCCTGCGCCAGCGAGGACACCACGTTGCGCAGCAGCCGCTCCTCCTGCTCCGAGCAGGTCCTGCGGGCCCGGGCGGGCAGCCCTTGCACCGCGCGCTGGCACCTGTGGAAGAGCTGAAAGGGGCCAGCACGCTGGAGCCGCCCCGCACGAGGCCCGGCGAGCCCCGCGGCTCCGCTGCACCAACCAGGCTGCGCAGGGGCGAGGGCAGCCCCCGCGCAGGACAGGGAACCAGACCCTCCCTGCGCGCTGTGCGCCCCCGCGCCGAGCCCCACCTCTCTCGCTGCTTCTCCTTCAACCCCGCCACCCTCCTGGGAGCACCCCGGGTGGGGGTTCGGGGAGAACCGGGCCGCTGCTCCACTGTGCGCCCAGGGTGCAAACAGAGCAGCGCCCGGGAAGGCTCCGCTCAGCGCCCCCTCCTGCCTCTCATCACCAGCACCCCGGAGACTTAGACAAATAACAAATGTAAACACTAAAGTTTAAACACTGGTTATATCACTTAAAAATGACTCATTTAGCATTTTAAAAGAGGTTATTTTCTAGGACACTAATATACTCAGTCTAGGGCAGAAACTCCCAACCTCCAATCTTGAGGACCGTTTCCAACACAAACGAAATGTTTCAACACTCGTATACGAGTTACACACGTTTCAAATGACTGAACTCAATGATGCTCTGGGTTTAATTTTTAAAATCAACCTACAGTAGTATCTACCGACAGAAAAGCAGCCCCCATGGAGGAGCTCGGGGCTCCTGAAGCCCGGCCCTGACCCTCAGGCGGGAAGCGGAGCCGCGGGCCTGCTCTCGTCTGCCTAGAGCTGCCCCCACCTCCCCAGACAGTCCAAGGCTGGGAACCCACCCCACCCCACCTGCGTGATCTCCTGGGTGGTAATCTCAATGGCGTGCTCTTGCTCACTGCTGTCATCCAGGGTGGGTCTGTTCAGATGCTGGTCGTGCAGGATGGCCAGTTCCTTCATCTTCTGTTTGATCCGGCCAACGTCGTACTGGATCTGAAGGATGCAACCACGGGCAGCCGCTGAGCCTGCAGGGCACCGCTGCGCCGCGGCGGCCACACTGCAGTCTCCAGCCTCAGGCAGGCTGCCCGCTGCAGGAGCAACCGTTCCTCCAGGGAGCCACACCGCTTCTCCGCGTCACGCAGTTCTTCAGTTCTTCCCATAGCTCGGGCAGTGACTTCTGACCCGAATCACGAACACACACTTCTCGTGAAGTAACTGAAAGCTAGTTTTTCCAGGACATGCATCCAAGTGTAGCCAAATCAGTTTTTATGGCAAATATCTTAAAATATGTTACTGTCATAATTGCTTAAATAAATAAGATAGTATGAAACTAACATTCGACTTACTTCGTCCACTCCATCCACCCATTTAGGAGGTAACCGTTTGGTCACACCAATCGCTGCTTCTGGGTCTAAGCTAATGCCGGAAACCAGAGCCATCCGGTCGTCGGCAAGCTACAGGGAAATAAAGGAAGGTTACAAAAGCTATCTAGATGCAGTGTAGCTGAGCACATGCTTACTCCCTTCTACACAGCCCCCCAGCAATGAGGACATGGAGCTGTAAACGCGCTGGCCTGGGGACACCCTTCCTTTGGACATGCCTAAGACTGGAACTGGGTTCCTATCTTTTCCATGTACCAGTTCTTCATTTTCTTGGATATACCTGTGAACATGAATTTGATTTGATCTGCCTACAGAAATGTAATTTTTAAAAAAGTCAACAAAAGTCCCTTAAAAGAAAGACCCTGTAGTACTCAACAATTAATGTGATCAGATACAAATTAAAAAATGCGAGGCTGGGAGGTAAACTACAGCACAGGGAACATAGCCAGTAATACTGGGGGTACTGGAAATATCAGGGGACACTCTGTAAAGTATATGATTGCCTGATCACTAACGCTGCACACCTGACATGAATACAAAATAATAGTAAATGTAAACTGTAACTGGGAAAAAAAATTCTAGGCAGTAAATGGAACCAATACGCAAAGTTCAATAGCAGCAACATTGATTTCCATACATTCAGCGTATTTTGGAAATAGGGCTGATTCAGTTAACTTTGCACAAGATCATTAACCACGTGGTAAAATGTGTGAAAGAAATGCTTAACCGGTTAGCAAATTATCTACCACTTGGCCAAGCGGCCCTGACCCCTCCGTGCAGCCCCACACTGTCAGGTCCTTTGTTCAGGGAAATGTCCACAGGCAGCATTTCCACTTACTTTGAAATGAGATCGATCGTCCTCGCTCACCTCACCGATAGGCTACCCTGCCTCGGAAAGCTCTGAGGGATGGGCGGGGCCGGGCTGGGGCAGTGACCAGGGGGAAGGCTCCGAGGGGCCCTCCGGAGCTCAGAACTTACAGCTGCCGTTTCAAAAGATCCAAATGATAAAAAATAATGGGAAACAGCGTATAAAAGGCCTTTGCAGGTAAACACTTCGTATGTTTCCCAAATTGCACCGCAAAGCTGGGTGAGAAATGGATACTGCCTTTCTTCCCCTTCCCTGAATTTATCTAAATTTACGTTTTCTTCCAATCAGCAAATACTTGTTTGCTTTTCTAACAATAAAGGAACAAGACAAAAGTTTTAAACCCACAGATGAAAGGGGGGAAATATCATATAAAAAACCCTGAGATTAAGAGGGTTCTTCATGTAATGAGCCCTGAATTCAGAACAAGGAATGACAGCAAAATCCCTAAAAGCAACTGGGGGTACACAACTGCTCCCCCGAGCCCCATCTCTCAGAGCACTCTGCGGACCCAGGGAGCGAGTGTCATAGGAGCACCACACCGAAGGGACGGCGTGCCCACCACTGCCCCAGAGAGCCGAGTGCTGAAGTCACGGGTCCCCGCCACAGCACCTGCAGGCCCAGCACGGTTTCAGGTTCTAAACAAAAACGGTGTGTCAGCCTCTGCTGGGGGCTGGGTCCGAGGAGTGGTCCTTCTCACCCGCCACCTTGCTTGTTCGCAAGAGGTCACTAATAGGAATTTTACATTCCTTTCATGATTTTAACCCTCACATAAGCTAGGTGAGCTAGGAACCTATTATTCCAATCTATAAACAAGGAAACTGAAACTCAGAGAAGTTAAGTACCTTGCCCAAGGTCACCAAGCTATTAGTAACAGGTTAAAACCTGGGCTGGCTGACTCCAGAAGCCCCATCCGCTCCAGCAGCTGCCAATCACTTTGACAGGCCCATGAAATATAACTGCAATTTGCTAAGAAAACGAATCAGGACAACAAACCCTCGGATTAAAACTACAACACAAAACAGGCCTCTGATCCGTATCAGTCCCCGGCCACCTGCACCAGGAATCGCAGGACAGGCCCCCAAGAGCACATAGTGTCAACAGAAAGCAGCCGCTCTCGGTGACCAGCTGTGGACTCAGGGACACGGTACAGACCTCACCCCATTCAGGGCACACAGTGACAGGCAAAGCCGCTTCTTCCTCAAGCCTGCTGCAGAATCACCAAGAGGTGTGACTCTGTGGGGCGTACCCTGACCAAGGCACCAGGGACAAACCACACGTCCAGCTCCCGGCATCTGCCCGCCCGACGGCCACTGCTGGGCAGCGTGGTCTGACTGCAGCTGAACTTGAACGTAAACCTCCAGCGGTTTATACAACGTAAAAAACTAAAAATGCGATGGTCATGGGTCATAGTACTGTCACCATGGTGGTTTATTATCTAACCGATTATTATATTTTATTACGCCGTATTTCAAGAGCGTAATAATAATAATTTGTTGCATTTAGAGTTTTTAAACTCAGGATCTTATATGTACTGTTTGTACTGTTTACAAATACACATTAAACTAAAAAAAAACAACAACAAGAGAGACGTTATCTACCTAAATCATCTGCATGTTAATTAGTGTCAATTTATTCGAAAGAAACGAGAAACTTTAAATCATGTATGAAAAGTCAGTCGAAGTGGATTAAACTCTTTAAAGCAGAACTGACTTTACACAATAGATGTGCCCCCTGAAATGAACCTAAGTCAAAGCTGGAAGAACATACTCTGTTAAGGGTCCTGTCCCTACATGAAGGGGACAGATGCCAGCCAGGTAGTGGCCTAGTCTGCCGCCCGCCCACTCGGCTACAATGTTGCCAGTAAGACAGAAGAGCTGACCGTCTGGGACTGCCAACTGGAGAGGGAAACCACGGAGGCCGCTTGGGGGAACTGGAGGAGACGCCTGGGGTATTTTATCCGTGTGCATTTCTGATCTGTGTCACGGTTTGGACTTTTTTTTTTTTTTAAGAGTATGCTTTGGGAAGGGAGAACACAACAGAAGATAAATGTCAATTCTTTAAAATGGGAAAAGATACAAACACAAAAAACACATTTTTAAAGCGCAGAATCAGCATTTCAACTTCAGAAATCCCTTTCAATTTAAAAACACATTTTCTTATCTTTTTAAGATTCAGGACATATCAGTTTTCAAGTTGCCATCTTAGTCAGTATAGACCTTTAAAAACACGGCCAGGGCCCTGGCCGGTTTGGCTCAGCGGTTAGAGCGTCGGCCTGCGGTCCGGAGAGACCCAGGTTCGGTTCCCGCTAAGGGCACGTACTTCAGTTGCAGTTTGTCCCCGGCCCTGGTTGGTCGTGCGGGTGGCAGCCATTCGATGTGTCCCTTCACGTCGATGTGTCTCTCTCTCTCTCCCTTCCTCTCTCTCCCTCCCACTCTATCTGTACAAAAAATGGAAAAATATCCTCGGGTGAGGATAAAAAAATAAAAAAATAAAAAAAATAAAAAAATAAAAACACGGCCAGGTTTTTAATTCTCCTTCCTTATCCTTGCTGATTTCAGCTTAGTCCCCCTCCAGATATATGATGTTGGTGACTAAAGCTTTTCTTAAATGAACTTGTGCTTCTGAAGGAAAAACAAAAACTTCCCATCGTTGTTAAATAAGAAACTTGTTCAATAACAAGTTGTGCTCACGGGAGTTGAGAATCTCAGAACTCTCGTCTCTTCATCTGCAGCTCGGTCCTCCGGGAACTCTGGGGGTGACCCTCGAGCCCAGACACACCTCACTCAACCTCGCCAGTGCAGGAAACTCCAGCAGGTGCTCCAGCAGCACACTCACTGCCCTAAAGTTCTCTTTGGCCTTGATCCACCTGAGGCGTTGACACCTGTGCCCCGAAAAGCACCAGGCAGCGGGGACAGTTCCGGATCTGCGGGAGGCCCACGCACACCCACGTGCACACACTCACTGATCACTCTCGCTGTCCCCAAGGTGCAGCCTTCTGAGGGCACGAGAAGGCTGAGGGAGCTGGAGATTAAGGAAATGGCTCAGCCTCTGCTGAGATTAAGGTCAGACACAGTCCCCGGCTAAAGCAAGGACCCGGGGTCGGCCACACACACACTGACAATCGGCAACACCGCCAGGTCTGGATCGTCTGTGGCGATGAACATTTAAAAAGTCCAGGAGGGACGTTCAAAATAGCCTGGCAACTGTGGTCCGTGTGCGAGGACCGGCCTCGGGGTGGGGTCAGCACAAGCGCAGCGCGGGGCTCGGGGGCTCGGGCTTCGCTGGGACCCGGCCGCCTTCCTCCAGGGCGGGAAGCGGCGCGTGGGTAAGGCAGCGGCATGTCAGCACTACCATGCCTACGGTTTGTTTTCATCTGTGATCCTCTTCAAGTAGTGTTTACTTTTTAGATTGTGAAACAATGTTCAAAATAGACACTTTTTAAATGTGCAAAACTATAGAAATAAAAAAGAGCCTGAGAATCACAGCACTCAGATATAAATGCTGCTGCTTTAATGGATTTTCCTTTTTGCTCAACGATCACACACCCTTAAAGAGGAGGAGGAGGGGGCAGTGACGACCTCTGTCCTGGGGGGGCTGCACTTCCACGGACTTGACCCGGTTAGTCCCGACAAGCCTGAGAGGGGACGGGGCACCGCTCCGTTCGACAAAGGGACACTGAGGCCCCGCTGGGTGCAGAGGCTTGTGCGGAGCCCCCTCGGCAGGGTGACCAGTGAGCCCTCAGGTCCCTGCTCTTTCACCCTGCCCTGCCCAGGCCATGCGGCTTGGAGCTTGACAGCTACCTCTTACAGTTTTTCACATTCCTGTTCAGAATTTTAACAACGTAACCACCAGAGAGATGACCGTGACAGGAGGAAGGAGAGCAGAGCGGGGGTCAGGAAGGGGGGCGTGTCTCTGGAGGAGACTGGCTGGGCCCCCCCCAGGGACCCCTCCTTGGTGTCCTGGAGGATGAAGGTGGCATCCCCAGGACGCAGATCTGAGCCGGTCTGAGGAGAAGGACCGACGGACGTGGACAGACTGCGGGAAGCCCCAGATGGCTGTGCTCGGGAGGCTCACGGGACGCTCAGGACAGCTCGCTCCGGCCTCACCTCCCGGCTGCTCGTCCACCACCCAGCTGGGCGCCGGGAGGCACTTCGCCCCTCCCAGAAGGCTTCCACTCGAAGCCCTCCTGCGGCCTTGGCAAAGCAGGGCTCTGGACACCGTGCCCAGCACCTCTCCAGCGCCCAGCTCAGCCTGGCACTCAGCAGCGATGAATATACAGTTATATTGGCTGAATGAGTCAACAATACATGGGGTGGAGTGAACGAAGTAAATAAAATGTCATGCACAACTCCAAAAGCTAATTCATAAAAGACCAAAAGGTTGTGGACAGAGGACAAGAGGCAGGGGACTCCCGGAGGGGCGGAGGTGGCGCGCCGGCCCCGAGCAGGAGCCCGGGCTCCGAGCAGAGAACTGGCCAGCACTGGGTGCGCGGTGGCGAAGGGCTCCCTCAGGTCTCTGGTAACAGACCCCGGGGACCAGGGCCGATGGCAGACCCGAGTGTGCCCACTGCTGTGTATGCCAAGCATGGGACAAGTACTCAAGTGCTTCTTCAGTATAAGGCTGCTTATCATTTCCCCCATCACACACTTCCTTTCTGGGGCCACGAGCCCCGTTTCCAAACTGTTCAGGAAGGGGTCACATCAGTTCTACAAGGCCTGCTCTGTGCCCCAAGTGCCTGGCCAGCAAACCTACCATGTCCGCTGTCCCCAGAGATGCTGGGGCTCATTGTGTGAGCTGCAGTGACCTCTACCTACCTCTCCAGGCCCAGTGCCCAGGCCGTGCTGGCAAGGAGGCTGCTCGGCAGGCATGGCCATGGCACCTGGCTCTGTGAGCAACCAGTGGAGGGCCTGTTTTTAAATACTATTTGTTTCTTAATGAAAAAACACAGGCACGTGCTTAAAAATATAGATCCAACCTAAAAAAAAAAGTTTGCAATACAAAAGAAGTTTCTTTTCCATCCAACTTCTCCTGGAAGGGAGCCACAGTTCACAGTTCTTGTCTCTTTTAGAGAGTTTCTAAGTACACACAAGCATAAATAAGAGTCATTTTTCTTAAAGAAGGCTTGGGGGGCATCACCTTGCGTTGCCCGCACCATTTGTCTGGGCGCTCAGAGCTGCAGCCTGGCCCAGGGACCAGGGACACCAGATAGTGAACTCACCCCGTCCTCGGAAGGACACCGGGCGGTCCCAAGGCTGTTGTCTTTCTGGTACAGTTAAGGCTTTAGAATTTACAGGTAGATCTTCATCTACAAATTAGGAACCTCCTTGGCTTGGAAGCCAGCCACCCTAAGCCCACCTCACCGTCCATTCTTCTCAATTAAATGGACCACAACAGACAACACTCCCCCCAATAACTCGTTCTAAAAGGTCTACCCTCAGGGAAAATCTTCTCACCCCTTCACCACTGACGCAGGCAATGGAAACACAGTTACCAAGCACAGCTCAGCCCCTCCCCCAACTCCCCTACTAACTCCTAGGACTGCTATAATGATCCTCGCTGCACCTTCTGGGAGACTGGCCACCGGAGTGAAAAGGCCCAAAGTGCACTGCTAGAAAGGGGGCGGGAAGGGGACTGTGAGTGATCCCCCATCCACAAAGCAGTAACTGGGAGGACCCCTGGAAGGTGGTGGCTGCCAACTGGGCTCTGCCCCTGAGCCGGGTGCAGAAATCCAAGGAGTTACACACGTGACCCAAGAAACACCCAAGTTCAAGGAAGTGTCCAACTTGTAGCCACCAAAGTGGTGTCACTTCCCGAGAGCAGTAAAATACCGTTCCCAGCCTTTCTCTAAATTATCAGTTCACTGGTGTGACAGTGTATTCAATACATCCTAGGTGTTACATCGTTAAACACAGCAATTACACACAATCGAAACAAATGCTAAGACGTGGGTTAGCTGTGTCAGCATTTTACATATGATTGGAGACGGCAGGAAAACAGGCATAATTTCATGGACTAACACACAGAAATATTCAAAACACAATACCTCATCCAGCTCCTGAAGAGATATGTTGTTCCCAAGAACCCCGTCCAGTTGGGGACAGCAGAGAGAAAGCAGGGTGGGGACAGACAGACAGACAAGGTGTGGTCAGTTGAGAAAGCACTGAGATTTTAAATAACTCTAAAGCTGCCTAAAAATAAAGATCCACTCACCAAGGCATTTATTTAAACACTCTCCCCATTATGATTCTTCTTTTCTTTTTTAAAAGCCACATCAATATGTTTTAATTTTTATTTACTGTGATTGTTATTTTTTAAAAAATAGGAAACACACAATGCAAAGTTGTAAAAATTACAACACAATAGAAACAAATAAAACACACTTGCTTCAGTTGCACTGAAATGTAATGCTCACCCGTCTCATAAACATCAAATATCACACACAATGTTCTACATTCCCTTTAGGAAGAGAAGAGAGCTAAGCTGGGACGTGGTTTTACCATGTCAAATGCATCGTATATTTTAACGTGTAAATCAGCCCTGCAAATGCAGCAAAAACTAGAAAATGAACAACCTACAAAAACTGTCTATGGCTGTACTGAGATAATGTCGGAGTGACCACATATGTGAGGTCTCCCCCGATGCAACCCCGCGGACGGCTTTCTCCGCGGCAATAAGCCAGCCGAGAAAACACTCTTCCCCGGAGAGAGACAGGTGGTAACGGCAAAGAAAAACTCCCCATTTGCTTGGCATATGTTACTATTAGTCTAGAAAGCACGGTGATTTATAAAGCTATTACAAAAAGCAAGTAAACCAAACCAAACCAGGGAAGGAGAACATTTTTTAAGGGTAGTAGGAGGGAGGAAGCCAGGCAGCCAGAGGATTAAGTTTCAATCACAAACTCAAGGTTCTTTTTGAGATCAGCGTGGAACTCCGTCTTCTGAACAGACATGTGGTGATGACAGATCATTTAAACAGCCAGCCCCCCCCCCCCCTTTTACGGTATTGATCCCTGAAATAATTAGTGTTGAATTTCAATAATCAACTATGTTGGTTTTTTTATGCTTAGCAGTAAATTTAGGGGGGAAATAAAACACACACACACACACACACAACTTCCTTATTTAAAAATTAATAGTGTGAATGAAACTGGTCTATCAGGGCCAAATATATTAAACAATGAGAGCAATAAAAATGTAATTAAACATTCCTCCACGTAAAAATTCAATTAGCTGACATTATAGAAAGCCGCAAGTCCTAGGCATTCCTGCTACAATTAGTTGTGACAGCCACAGAGAACTATATTTATACACACACCCTGCCATAATTGTAGTCCAGAAGACATTAATAGAGTGGATAGTGTCAAATGGAAATCTCATTTAATTACCTTTTACTTTAAAAAGAAAATGTTAGCATTTTTTAAACCTAACATTTTCAGCAAGAAAGCACTGAAGTGTTTTTATTACTAAAACAAGACACAGGCAAGCCCCAACTCCGGGTCTCCCGCACCCAGGCCACCGTGCAGCGGCTCCTGGCCTCGCCTGGGACAGTTACACCGCAGGCCAAGGTGGAGGTCTCTGCTACGCGTGCGCCTGTCCTCTGGCTACTGTCCACGCACACACCCTGATCTTCTGGTTTCTACAATGACCAGCTGAGAAGAGGAGGAATCAGAATCACGGGCTGGATACAACTCCATTCTTACGATAAGAAAAGCAAGCTTCAGGATGTATAAATCCATTTCCCCAGAGTCACAGAGCTTGTAACTTCTGGCTGAGAAGGGGACAGACCAGGTGTCCGGGCCCACCTTCCAACTGCTCTAATTTTATAAACAATTCAGGCAATTACAAGTGATAGGCAGCTACCACCACGCCATGTTGGAAATAAAATTCAGAAGGTCATCTTTTCGAAGGAACCCCACTCCCACCCAAATTTGCTATGGAAGTCTTTCAAAATACCCCCTACCACCAAATTCCAGAAAATGTTATCAAGATCTGAATTAAAACATTTAGAATCACCATCAGGAAAACCTAAAATACAGCCAAATGAAAACACGTTACTACACATCATCACCTTCTAAATCTTTATAATGTCTAAACCTAGCTTTCTGACCTGCCGATGGCATGCAGTCAAGAAAATACTGAAAACTCCAAGTAGCATGTGGAATTTATAGTCTAAAGAACTTTCTACATAAAACTGAAAAATAAGTGGAAACCCATCTGTGTTTACTCAGGAAGTCTGGAAAAGTTGAGTAAAATGAGTTGGAAATACAGGTCTATGCTATAGTGGTATTTACTTTATTTCCATTCCTGCCAAAATAAAAGTCTGCTTCACTTTTATCCAACAAAGTACCCTTATTCTTGAGTAAGTCTCCCTGCTCGAATGGAATCATTAGAGGCAAGAAAGCAAATAGATCTAGAGAGAAATAGACAATGATTTCATACTTGGAATCTAAAGACAGAGAACTAATTTTTCCAACAGACGCAGCCTGGGCTGAAACTTAGAAGCTTCAATGTGCAAGTTAAAATGGACGATGTATGGTTGTCAAACAAGATAAAGAAAGATGATATCCTATTGTAAGAAAGAAAAATTTAAACAGAGTCCTTGCATTTTCCAGGGCCCGCAGGCACAAGCCCAGGGAAAACGGCCCACCGGGTCAGCACAGGGCTCTCCAGCCAGCTTCGCCTGAGTTCCATCCCAGCTCCCCAACTTGCTAGGTGGGTGATACTGGTAAGGTTCCCAACTCCTCTAAACCTGTTTCCTTATCTGTATCATAAGGAAAAACTTATGCAGAGAAAAACTGCAGCACCTCTTTGATATGGCTCTGTGAGGATAAGCTGGGACTGCACATGGAAGGGGCTCAGCCCAGTGCCAAGCACATAGTAAACTCTCAATAAATCTCAGCTAATAATATCTTAGTCGAAACTGAAGAAGGACCTCAGGTTTCTTATAACCATCGTTAATCCTGCTTCTTTTCCCCCTAAAGCACACCACGTTTTATTAAAAATAATGTGCTAGTTTCAAACTAATCTAAGACCAATTAACTCTAGCTTCCATTTATAGATTATGCATTATTTTAAAGCAGAGAGTAGACTAGGCAGTAAACACTAACAAAGCAGCTGCAATCCCTCTACTAGATTATTCTGGGAGATCAGAGGAAATCACACAGGTCACACAGCCCCTCAGCAACCTCAGAAGGGCAACTTAACATCTACTTTTCATTCATTCATTCATTCATTCATTCATTCATTCATTCATTCAAAACGTTACACGTTCTTGGAGTGATTATTTAACTCTGTAAATTCATGTCAGCCTCTTAAAGCCAGGCTGCCTGTAACTGTTTGGATGAGGTGCTGCCTTAAAACCTGCATGTGGCCGATACAATGTCAAAACTACTTTTGCACAGAACTGGAGCTACTTCTAGGGATTTTTCTGGTAACACTGGGCTAACCGGCAGAGCACTATTGTTGACTATGGTTTCTCCTTTTCGAATGGAAAGCTAAGGCGGTGTGCTTTGGTCAGAAGAAATAATTAAAACAGAACTTGAGAAAGCATTGTTGAATCCATAGGAACCACCTAACTCAAAAACCTCAATTTACAAATAAGGCAAAAGAGTCCAAGAGATGAAAAGCTTGCCTAAAGACATTCTCTGTCAGGGCAGTGAGACTCAGACCTAAATTCCCCGAGTCCAATGCTCCTTCCTTTATTTCATGCTGCCCAAGGCATAACCATGATGGGGGTCCCAAAACTGAGGCCAAAACAGAATGAATGAGAAATGCCAACAACTGCATTTTGCTGACAGTCTAAAATCAAACCCCAGTTTGCTTTTAACAATTAGTTTCACTAATATCAAGAAAACAATTAAGTGGAATTTTGTTCAGTTCTGGGTGTTGAACTTTAAAAAAGAAACAAGAAAACTAGACTTCATTCATTGGCAAGAAACTGAACCCGGCTTGTTGTCTGAGCCGGGACGGCTGAGCTGGAGAAAGCTCCCGGGAACACGAAGCCTGCGGGGTTGTCACACAGAAGAATGAAGAGACCCCAAGGGCCAGAACCTGGGCTGGGGCCCCAGGATGCAAGATACAGGCAAAGTTGGGGTTAACTGAGGCAAAGATTTTTTAGTTTTTTGCAAGTACAAGGGGTGGACTGAGTGGCTGCCGGAATTGATCGCCATCACAGAACATGGACAAGAAAGGCAGACAGGGGTTTATCTCAGCCGGGATGCTGGGTCAAATGACCTTTAGGTCCCTTCTGACCCTGCGGGACTCTGTTTTGTTCTGTCACTGCACGTCTCCTTACATTCCTGTGATACATCTGCCTGTGTGCTGTGAAACCTGTTTCAGTATTCACGTATAGGTCCTCACGATAATCCCACCATCACCACCAACCAGCTTCTGGTTTTTTCCCCTCAAACTAGGATGCAAAAAATGCATGTTTAAATTTTTTGAGTGCTAGGGCTTTAGATGTGCTTTGTGTTGATATGTGAGATACACACACCCCTTTATAACCAATTTCCACAGCCTCTTCCTGAAATAAGAATGTGGAAATTCAAGTTTAAAACCAAAAAAATAAAATAAAAACTATTACTTCAGATGCCATTTATTTTCAGTTGGGTGAGATAACACACACACACATCGAATCAACTTCTACAGCTTGTTCTTGAACTAGGAACTAGAAATTTCAGGTTATGGTTTCTTAAATTAAATTAAACTCTAGTTACTTCCTTTTGAATTACTTGGTTTTAGATATTTACAAATTGTCTCCTTTTCATTGTCTTGTTCATTATTTTTAACATGATAGTTGTACATATAGTTGAAGTTTTTATTTATAATTTTCAAGCATACAGAAAAGATGTAAAATGGTATAAAATCTCCCCACGTTCATTACTACACTCAACAATTAGTAACGCTTTGCCTTATTTGTTTCCTTCATTGGGGGGGAGGTTATGAACACAAAATAAGTGATATTTTGACATTTCACCACTAAAAATTTCAATAAACCTAACAAAATTAAAAATTAAATCAATCAGTTTAATAATTTCTTAATATCACCTAAAACCCAACCTATATTCAAATTTGACAGCTATGGTTTGGTTTGCTACATGGTTTTGAAATATACAAGTCAGAAATGAGATCTAAAGTTTTTTCAAGCTAGACATACAGCAAAAAACACTGCATGAATTATTCAATAAAGTTTTTAAAAACTGTGTTAGACAAGGGTTTTTTCCCCAATTTTTGTGACACTTTTCCAACTTCCAGAAAAGTTGAAAAATTATACCTTCTACTTAGTGATGTTAAAATCTTGCCATATTTGATTGTGTGTGTGTGCAGAAATAGTTTCTGTAGAATCAACTGCAAGCAGACTGAAGATGTAATACTTCACCACAAAACACTTCAGAAATTCCTGACACACGTTTTTAATGCACACAGTTAAAATATATAAATGTGTTTTCTTTTTAATCCTAACTTAGGCAAACCATTTTTGTTTAATTGCAAAATCTATTTTTTAGATTGTCTGAATTGACTACAAAAATATTTTAAATGGTCTGATTGCTTACAATGATCTGAGATTTTATATAGACTGATAAATGTAACAGTTTAAATAGTAAAATTTACAGAAAATATTTTTTGATATTCTGACTTAGACATGTATTTTCAGCTTGATTTAGAAATCTATTTTCAAGAAATTGTCTGACTTACCTAAATATATGTATACATTTTCTGACATAACTATTTTTCCAAATTGTGTACTTTGGGCATCAATTTTTATTATTTTACTTAGCTTATATGTTTTTTAATTGCCTAACTTAGAAAATCATTTTAAAAATTGGTTTGACTTAGAGATGCACTTTTATAAAGCTGCCAGTCTCAGACACCAGGTTTTTAAACTGTTTGACCTAATTATTATGATTACTAATAAAAAAGTCTCACCTTACCCAACATTTCAGGATATTTTGAAGTTTACAAAATTTTAAAAAGCCAACAACATGTTTTTCAATCAATTAAAACTGATACCTTAGAAACAATACCAAGCTGTAGTTTTGGGTTTTTTCCCCCGTGAGGGAGCACAGTCAAGCTATTGAAGGGACATACAATTTTTGCATTTGCTTTAACAAAACTCAAGTTCCAGTGTGGAATTTCATTCATTCAATTTCTACTCTCTAACGCTGGGCTTATTTCAGAATACTTTTTTCAAAAGTAGTACTGAAATTAGCCTGATTCCATTTTATACTAAGTTCAGCATAATACCATTTCTTTCAGTTTACAAATGCAAAAATAAAGCCTTCAAATTCTTAAGTAAATAAAAATCTAAACAGACTCCATTCTTGTTTCCTATGATCTGTGATCTGAGTATACGTGATTTTATTCCTAAAACTGCTCACACGGCTTAGAATAGCTTTGCTATAGGAGCAATACGGCCAAAGACAGTTTCCACTTGTGATTTACAAAAAGGAAAAACTGTCTATCTAGGTACGTCCTGTCAATAATTAAGACATATGGCATAATTTAAAAAAAAAATTTAGATGAAGTCATAAAGAAAAAAAAATATTAAAAGGCAATATAGTCTCTAGGTCAGGTGAAATACGTGTGTGAGTCCCAAAGCTGTATATTTCCAGTACAATCCCCAAGAACCTGGTGTGGGGATGACTTTATTCCCTCTTCCTTCAATGCTGCTTCTAGCCCAACCTGGACTTTCTACAGCCTGGAGCCCCTTGTACAAATTAGTTCCATAACTTCACTTTTCCATTTAAGATATTACAAAGCTGCTAATCACAGTCTTGTTTAGATCACCCAGACCCCCCCCCCCCCACCCAGACCCCCTCCCCTTATTTACAGAGCAGAAAACAGGCTCAGAAAGGGGAAAGAAGCCTTCATCAAAAACAAACACAAAAACCTCAGTCATCTGTCCCTATGCAAGATTCTGCTGCTGGGCTAAAGAAGGGTTCAGGTTAATTAACTGAACAAACAAACAAACAAACAAAAATCTGTACTATTTGGGGGTTGGTTTTTACAAACACACTTTTTTTTTTTTTTTTTTTTTTTTAAGTTCGAATGGAGGGAACAGCTTAATTTCCTGTCTGGGAAATGGAAAAGGAAGAACCCAGCACCTTACAGTCTCACACACGAGACCCCCGGAAAAAAAAAACAGCAAAGCAATTATTCTTAGGGTGCAGGGCCACACAGAGAGGGCTGTGAGGCCATTACAAGAAAAGGGGCGAGAGGAAGGAGAGAAAAAAAAAAAAAAAGCAAAACCACAACTCCTTCCTCGTGTGGGGGAGGGTGTCTTTCATTTGCAAGGATTTGGGTCTGCGATCCCGCATCCCGGCCAGGAGAACCAAAGTGAGGCTCAGGATGGGGGGGGGGGGGGGGAGTGGGAGGGAGGCGGGGAGCGGGAAGGGGCGGGGGGGCTGAAAACCAAACCAACCCAAAAGGCTTCAGAAAGCCTCCAGCATCCAAATCTCAGCGCTAAAACCCCTGTACATTGGAGGCGGATTGTCGTGCAGTGACGACGGGAGGGGGGACCGGGGGAGGAATTGGGAGGGTTGCGGAAGTGGGGAGAGAGAGAGCGAGCAAGGCAGAGGGAGCAGAGGCCTAAAACTATTGGGTTTGGGTTCTTTGTGACCCCAACCAGGGTGACAGATGCCAAGAGACCGTGCATTTCGTATTCTTTCTTTTCTTTTCGGAACAGAGAGACAGACAGACAGACAGACAGGCAGAGCCCGTGCACACGAGGCGTGTCGGAGAGGCCGCCCGGGGACTCACCGCAGCTTTGCTACGTGAATGCAGAGGGCTGGAGGTGGTGTGACTACTCACTTGCTCGGCTAACAGCTGCCGGTTTTGGATGGAATTATTCCGCAACAACAAGAAAGCGTCGGTTAAGCGCCTGGTGGCCATGTCTCACCCTTTGTGAACCCCTGGCGGGGGGCCCCCCGCCCACGTATAGTCCTGACTTGTTCACTTTTCTTTCGCTTGGCCTGCGTCGGCCCACCCTTCGCAGAAGCGCCTCTTGACCAGGCCTCAGACCCCAGACCAGGCAGGAGCAGCTCTGAGCTTCGCCAGAGCGCGGAGACCCCTCCCCAAATAACCGCCTAGGCTTTGCAATTGTCTGCGTCCCCCTCCTCAAGACCTGCCTTCGATCTCCAAGCACTTAGATCCCCCCAATCCTTGCCTGGCGAGCCAACGTCCCAGAGACCCCTCCCCAATCCAACTCTGGATCTACAAGCGTCTAACTCGCCAATCCCGCTCTGGAACAGGAGGCCCTGAAGCCCCCTACCCTCCTGGTCTCGGAGACCCTCGAGGGTCTTGGCCCGGTCCGCCTGGCTGGGTTGGCACACGCGTCTGGGCCGCACCCTGAGGCCTAGGCCTGACTCAGTTTCCCCACTCGAGGCCTGGCCTGCGCCCTCTGTGCAGAAGCGAGCGAGGCCTGGGCCCTGGACTCCAGGGCGCCCGGGGCTGCCTGCTCGGGCCTCGCCTGGGCCTCCAAGGCCCAGGCCCGACCTCCTGACCCCGTTCCCTCGGGCTGCCTGCTCGTCCACTGCCACAGCAGGCTGCGGGCCTCCAGGAGGGCGCGGGGCAGCAGGGGCTGCTTCCCGGCCTCCTCACTGCTCTTCTCCGGCTCCCTCCATCCCCGGATCGGAGTGCACTTCAGCCCCGGGCCGTTTCCGTACTGTGGTCCCGGGGACTGGCGTCCCCCCTGGCCCTCTTCCTGTCCGTCTCTCGCGGGTGCCCCCCTGCGACGTTCGCAAGCCTTGCTCGCAACGTTCCGGGCGCGGGAGCTCCCTACCCCTTGCCCCGCGGCGCGGGAGCGCTCCGCCCTCTCCGGGGTGCGCCCGGGACGCCCGGTTTCCCCTCCCCCGCAGGGCCCAGACTCGGGGCGCGGGCGGGCGGGCCGGCCTGAGCCGGGGGCCGTGGCCCCGCGCTGCGGGCGGCGGCCCGGGGCCTGGGCGCGCACATTAGAGTGGAGGTGCGCGGCAGGCAGGTGCGGGCTCCGCAGGGCCGAAGTTGGAGGCGCGCGGAGTTGGGGCGGGAGGAAAAGTTGGAGACGACTGCCTCTGGAGGCCGAGCACGCTCCACTGCAGGCAGGGCTCGCCGGCGTTTTTTTCCAGTTCTAAAAAAAAGATGTATCTGAAAAACAACAAGAGAGGGGAAAAAAATAAAAAAGGGCAAAAGCAATAGCTAGAGCTCCAGGCCGCCTGGGCCGCGCCGCGGGCGGCAGTCGGGGGTCGTGGGGCGCCCGCCCGCCCCGGCGGCCGCTTTCTGTAGGGGGCACTGCAGGGTTGTGGAATCTCAAGTGGAAAAGATCCCAGAAACTTTGACAGCCCCCTCCCCCCAACTTTCCCTGCCGAGTGGGCCCGCGCGCCGCCGTGCCCGGCCCGGTGCCCCCCAACTTCCCGCCGCGATTTCCTGCGATCAGGCCAGGCCAGGCGGGAGTGTGGGGGGCAGCGACCCTGACCTGCCGCCGGGATTCGGGCAGGGGCTCCGCGGGTCCGCGTTGGGCACGAGCCACCCCAGCCCGAGCACGGCGACCAGGGGCCAGGCGACCATCCCGCGAGGGAGGCCGGAGTCCCACCGGGGCCGCAGCCACGAGCGGGTCGGGGTCGCGGAGCCGGCGGCCGCACCTCCCGGGGCCAGGCGCCCAGGGCGAGCCGAGACCACCGCGGGGCCGCCAGCGCCAGGCAGGTCTCGGGGCTGAGGTCTTAACAAAGGAAAGTCGCCCCGAAATCCGGGGTCGGACCCCGATCCCTGTGTCTGTTTCTGCGTGACCCAAACTTGACACACACGTGTGCGCGAGCGTTTCCCGTGTGCTGAGCACGCCCGGCTTGCAGAGGAGCGAGGCACAAAGCGCACCCGCCGGAGCCGCCGCGCACAAAGGGCCCGGCGCGGGGACGCGGGGTCGCGAACCGGCTCGGCCGAACCGCTGCGACGCCGCGGAGACACACGTTGTTCTAAAGGAGAAGGTTCTCAGCGTCGGTTGTATCACTAAAACTGTTACAATGTGTTCGGGAGATACATCCACGAGCCTCGCATCAAAGAACAAGACACCGAGAGCCCGGGAGCCGGGCTGGCGCGCTCCTGGCGGGGAAGGGGCTGCGGCTCCGCGAGCCGGGGCGGTGGGAGCGGGGCTCGCGGAGCCGGGGCGCTGCTGGCTCGCACGGCCCTGGGCCCGGACCCTGCGCGGGCGACACCGCACCCCGCAGCGCGTGTCCCCGAGGCGTGTAGCTGCAGACGACGAGCAGCCCGCCTCTCTCCCGGGCTGCAGGCTGCGGCGAGGTGAAGGCGCCGCGCTAAAGCACAGACCCTGAGTTATCTCGTGCAGGGAAATTCAGGGAGCCTGTACGTGGACCCCCGGTTTAGCTCGGCACCCCGGGAAATATTTACATGTTTGCCGAATGAGGGAGAGATCTGTTCCCACACCACCTATGATCCCTCCTGGGACAAATGACCCCAGGCACACAGCTGGCACCCCCACGCTCCCCTTCAGAGGACAGATATTGCAAATAACAACTGAGCCGGTCTTCGTCAGAACATCAGATTAGAAATGCGGCCCGAACCCTGTTCCTGTCTCTTAAAGCACTCATCACCTCGCAGGGCAGGTTACTTCCCCGGCTAGAACGTGATCTTCCTCCTAGCAAGGGCCGAGCTTTTTCCTCTGTGTACCCACTGCCATTTCCTCTGGCTCGGAATAGGCTCCGGATAAACGTTTTTAAAATATGTGTGTGAATGAATTAGAGACCCGCGGTTTAGTCCCCAAACTCTCCGACCTTCCTCAAATGACTGTATAGCCCTTATCTGCCAAGAAAGAAAGAAAAGAAAGAAAGAAAGAAAGAAAGAAAGAAAGAAAGAAAGAAAGAAAGAAAGAAAGAAAGAAAGATAGATGCGGGGGGTTTTAATAATCCTTGTCATCCGTGCCCTGTCTCCCTCTCTGGGGCTATTGTGATGATCAAATGAGATAAGTGAAAATCTTTGTAAACATTCAGGTGCTGAGCAAATATTAGATAGGGTGATTATTCATTCATTCCCTTCCCCGGGAAAGTAATTTCTGGGCTGGTGTTTTAGCAGATGGTGGTCACCCATCCTGGTCAGTCTTTAGTATTTATTGCGGGGCACTCTCGTGCTTACATTTAGGAAATCAATCAAGCTTCCATTTCTTTGAGAGAAATGAACAGTGCTTGCACACATAAATAACGGGAGAAAAGTCCTCGTATTCCCTAACAGCCACCTCCAGCAAACCCAGAGCCCAAGCAAGGGGAAATCATGAAGAGCCCATGAGATTGGCATAGCAACCCCAAGGCGCACGTCCAGCTCTAGCCAAGCACGGGATCGCATGTGTGAAATAGTGTTAAGTGAGAAGCAGGGAGCCCAGAGAGGCCATGCACACTGGCAGGGATCCGTCTGTGTCCGCCCTGACCCATATTGGAAGGGAGGTGAAGGGAGGGGGAGGATGTAAATCATTATATTTGAATGTTCCTTGGCTGTTCTATTTTCCTGTCAAGTGGCTTAAGCCTGATTTTTTTTTTTTTAAGCATTCCCTCATGGCCAAGTATGTGTTTCCTTGGAATTGAAATCTAGGTTGATGGTTTTATATTTTAAAAGCTTTCATTGTGACTCATTCTTGGCCTGGGCTAGGATTCTGTAATACTCCCCAAGCTCAAAGAGCCTGGGTGTCCTGTTTCTCGGGCTTCGGACCCCCTTTCTAACATGTTGCCATGGATCCAAGAAGTCACTTTTGGAGACAAGTGTTTCATTGTGTTCTTGTCATCTTAATCAGTGTGGAAGGGAACTATAAACATAGACTTTCCCAGCTTAAGCCAGAGGAGGCATGTGCAAGAAGGTTTCAAGTGCTAGCAGGTTCGTGGTTAGACAAAATGGGTCAGCAGGGCAAGACTCACCCGCTTGAGTGAAGAAGGTTCAATGAGACGGGGCTCACGAAGCCCTCGCCGGGGCCCAGCACATAGCAAGTGCCCGTAAACGGGCGACGTGGTTTATCACACGAGCCGTCTTGGTGACACGGAGCTCACATTGGCCCCACTCTGCCTGGAAGGCATCACGACAAACTCCAGAGAGCAGGGCATGGTGGTGGGAACTGGGTTCTCTCCAAGCGCATTTTAGAGATTCTTGTTCTGTGTCTTGAGACTCCAGACATGTTTGCCATGTATCCTCACGTAGAAGAGGGGTTTAAACAGCCGCCACTGGACACCTTTGAACTTGGCCCTGTCTAGCACCTATTATTGTAAGATCCATGATAAAAAGCCATTCTTTGCCCTGGCTGGTTTGGCTCAGCGGTTAGAGTGTGGGCCCGTGGATCAAAGAGTTGCAGGTTCAATTCCAGTCAAGGGCAAGCACCTCAGTTTCGGTGTGATCCCCGGCCCTTGTTGGGATCGCTCTGGAGGCAACCCGTCAATGTTTTTCTCTCTTTCTCTCCTTCTCTCTCTCCCTCCCTCCTACTCTGTCTGAACATCAATGAAAAAATATCCTCTGGTGAGGATTTTTTAAAAAAAGGTCATGCTTTTATCAAGATGAGCAGCAAAAGCCCCCGAGCTTGACGAATGTCTCATTTGCAGAGCCCTGACATGACAGGCAGAATCTGGCCAGATTGAGGAGACAGGAGCTCTGGGTTCTGTCTCCCCAAATAGCTCCTCAAAACCCTGAGTATGTCCAACCAGAAAACTCCCAGCCCGGTCTGCCTCCAGCCACGACGTCTCTCCTGAGCAGAGGGGCCCCAGAGAGAGGCAACAGTTTTGTGTCGCCCAGACTCTTCTTCTTTTTAACCCCACAGTTCAGTTCAGGGGGCACGTCTAAGAATGTAGCAATGCTGTGCCCAGCCTGACCAGTCTCTGCCACCTCTGCCCGAACGCTGGTTCTCACTGTGTGCTTTTCTCCAACAGCCTTCTGACGGACACCAGCTCTTCCCCGCCATCCATCCTCTGCCCTGCAGCCGCAGGAACCTTCCCAAAGCACCAATCTCATCACCTCGCCGCCTGATGGAGGCCATGAAACAGCTCCTTTGGCCCCACCAGCGGGGATTCCGCAGAAAACAAGGTGCGGTCTAAGCCAGGCCGTCACTAACAGTAACTAAGGTTGTTTTTTTCTTGGTTGGCAGGAGAAAATGTACTTAATTGATGGAATAGTCTCCATTGTAAGTGTTCCTCCCCTTACTTTTCCTTAGGACTCTGGTCCCTGCTACCACTTGGGAGCATTAGATTAAAGTATAAGACTAACAAAGCTATCCCAGAATTATGTATTCACTTTTTTTCATGCATCAACATTTCCTGGTGTTCTGCCTGCAGGTGTTCTGTACCAACGTGGTAGAGATGGAAGCCAGGCGTTCAAGACCCTAACCCAGCAGGCCCCACCCACCTGGGGAGCTTGTTCCTCCCCAGGCTCTGGCTCCCAAGGTTTTCTCTGCCTACATCTCAGGTCTTCCCACTTCCGCCTCAGGACTTAGTCCCGCCTACTGTCTAGTGTAACAAATGTTGGTGGAAAAGATGGATGGATGGATTGACAGATGGAAAGATGAGATTAAATAAATTAAGTACAAGAGTAGACCAGATGGTCAGGAGCCTAAATGGGTAGTGCAGACAGAGTACAGTGTCCTCTCTCCCCCTCTCATTCAGTTGTCTCAGACTCCTGGGCCTTCTTACTGCTCCTCGCCCTCAGCACTTCTTACTCCTCCCACCCAGC